GGGGGTGTGGGGAGTGGGGGAAGGTTGAGGGCAGAAGCATGGGAAACGGGAGAGATGCAGTCGAGGGCATCCTTAATAACAGACGAGGGGAAACTAAGTAAGAAGGACGGGAAATGGGGGGAGATGCAGTTGAAGGCATCTTTAATAAGAGGAGAGGAAACTATGGTCCCTAAAGTAGGAGGATATCTGGGAAGTCCTAGAGTGGAATGCCTCATTCTGGGAGCGGAGGCGGAGGAATTGAGAGTGTGGGATGGCATTTTTGCAGGGAGGTGGGTGAGAGGAGTTGTAGTCAAGGTAATTGTGGGAGTCAGTAGGTTTGAAATGAATATCAGAAGTGAGTCAGTTACCAGAGATGGAGGTAGAGAGGTCAAGCAAGGTGAATTTGAGGGTGCGGTGGAAGGTGTTGGCAAAGTTGATGAACTGTTCGAGGTCCTTGCGGGAACATAAGGCAGCGCCGATACAGTCATCAATGTAGTGGAGGAAGAGACAGTCCCTTTCAACAACTACACTGGTATCACCCCTCACCTCTTCCTCCGCCACATTGATGATTGTATCAGTGCTGCCTCATGCTCCTATGAGGAGTTTGAACAGTTCATTAAATTTGCCAACACCTTCCACCGCGTCTTCAAATTCACATGGACCATTTCTGACATCTCCCTCCCCTTCCTTGACGTCTCCGTCTCCGTCTCCGGTAACCAACTCACCACTGACAAACCCACTGACTCCCACAATTGCCTTGACTTCACCTCCTCTCACCCAGCCCCCAGCAAAAATGCTATGCCATACTCACAATTCCTCCACCTCTGTTGCATCTGCTCCCAGAATGAGGCGTTCTACTCTCGAACTTCCCAGATATCCTCCTACTTTAGGGACCATAGTTTCCTCTCCTCTTATTAAAGATGCGTTCAACTGCATCTCCCCCCATTTCCCATCCTTCTGCCCTCAAACCCTGTCCCTCCAAGAGCAAAAGGTTAGAGTCCCCTTAGTCCTCACATACCACTCCATCATCCTCCAACACTTACTATCAGACCTGATCATGAAAAAGATATTTCCCTCCCACCCTGTCCGCATTCTGCAGGGACCGTTCACTCGCCACTCCCTCATCAGCTCTACACCCCTCACCAACCCATCCACCACACCCTGTATCTTTCCCTACAACCGCAGGAGGTGCTACACCTGTCCCTCTCACCTCCGTCCAAGGTCCCAATCTTTCCAAATCCAGAGATTCACCTGCACTTCATCTAACCTCATCTACTGTATCCGTTGTTCCTGATCTGGCCTCCTCTATGTTGGGGAGACCAAATGCAGACTCAGGGCCAAATTTGTGGAGCATCTGTGCTCCTCACGCATCAGCCAACCTGACCTTCCATTTGCCATCCACTTTAACTTCCCCTCTCATTCCCCTGGTGACACAATCCATCCTTGGCCTCCTCCACTGTCAGAGCGAGGCCAAACATAAACACCTGATTGTTCGCCTTGGGAGTTTACAGCCCAATGGCCTGAATAATGACTTCATCAGCTTCAAAATCTCTCCATCACCAACCTGTCCATCTTCCGCCTCACCTACGCACTCCAACCTTCCCACTGACCAACCACAATATCTCCTACCTGCACGCACCCATCTCCTTCCCACCAATACCAAACCCCTCCCCCACCCTGTTTTTATTTCGGGGCTCCCCTCTCTCTCCCAGTCCTGACAAAGGGTTTTGGACCAAAACATTGACTTCCCTTGCTCCTCGGATGCTGTCTGACTTGCTGTGCTTTTCCAGCTCCACAATTACTGACTCTCGCTTCCAGTATCTGCAGTTCTTACTGTCTCCTCTTTCAAATTTGTCTGCTGCATTGATAGTGACAACAGCTTCTTGGGAAAAGGGGTGGGGGGGAATGGGGAAGAGAAGGTTTAATATGCTCCCTAAGGGAATACAATAAATAATAGATATTCGTGGAATAAATAAAACCAATGTACTGGGTTGGTGTGGTGTTGGAACAGAAAACACAACAGACTCACCAATATCTGGTGTGACATCTTCAAGGATATCGTCACGTTGTATCTTTTGGAGTAACTCCATTAATTTGCCCACAGAAGAGCCATCCTTGACTTGCCAATCTTCCAACAGTTTTTCGGTGGGATTGTCTAACCTTTCGTAGTTCTTAATTTCCAGATACTCAAAGCCCATCTCCTCGGCCAGCACGGTCCAGTCTGCTGCCACTACAGTTCTTGGATTGAGGTACAGAGCTAGTTTCTTCCTTACCGAGAAGTTCAGGGTAATCAGAGGGATGGAAAAGTAGTCAATGCTCCCCAACGAATCAGCAGACTCACTATTTTTCTTCTCACAGGTTGCCATTTTGTGACTAAAATATTTGTGCGGAGTTCTTAGCAGAAATGGAGAAAAATTCACTATTTCAATCAAAGCAAGAAGTCTTCCTTATATTAGACATTTCCCACCTCAATCTCACATTTAAACGACAACTACTCATCCAACCAACAAATAACCATCCAAATGAAACAAATATTTCAACAAGCGTAAAAAAACTCGCTTTCGTTTCTTTATCTCTCAATTTTACAGAGAAACGAAAGTATTTCTTTTCGCCGCAATGCAGCACTTTTGCGAGATGCAAGTAACACCGAAACTTTTTTCAAAAATCACTATCAATGCTAAAAAAAACTTACCAAAAAAATTCAGCGGCACCCTTCTTCCCAAAGACTAAAAAGTAATTAACTGTTGCAACAAGTCAAAACTATCATTTTTATTAAAACACACAATAACTTTTGTTATTTCCTTAGTCTGCTTCCATTCTTGGGAAGTGACGCGTATACTAATTAACTCGAAACCAGCTCTTTTGGGAGGAGCAACAATGTTTCATTTCCGCATTGAGCAATTCTTTCGTTGTTTGTCTACTTTTTTTTGATAAACCTGTACTTGTTCCGGATCGCCCTGAGTGAATGGCAGTTCCTGTATTAGTGCTTCACACTGCGGACGTCATCTCTGTTGCTAGACCTGTTGAGTATTTCCAGTGCTTTGTGGTTTATTTCTGGTTTCCAAAATATTTTGCTTGTATTTTTTTTTCTCGTAAGTGGCTTAGTGAGATTGACAGATTTCCCTTAGATGAGAGTATCAACGGATTGTTTTAAATTGATTTGTCTGATAGGGTAATTGTTACCAAGGCCATTTATTCTCAAAAGCTACACGTCTCGCCGTGGCAGTTTCTCAGTATGTGGTGGTCTTTCGGAGTCCCGACCTCAATGGGATTCCAAAGCAGTCTCTCGGCCTTAAGGTGAAGTCCGCTGCAGTCTGGACGCTAGGTGCCATTATGGACTGGACTGGGTTGGAAAGACCGTTGTTCTGAACTTCTTATTTCTCTATTTTGTAATTTATTCCGGCGATCTGCAATGCTGGACTTCTTAATTTCTTTATTTTTTCTATTTTTTCCCCCTTAAGAACTTGTACTGAAGCATCTGCACCTTGTATCTAAGATGGCGCCGTTAAGTGCCGACTTCTGTAAACTTTCACTGTACTCATGTGGTGATAAAGCTAATTCAATTCCATTAAAAGTGAGTCACTTTCAACCACTGCAGTCCACCACTTGAAGATACTATTAGAGGGTTGGCAACCCATTAGCAATTGAAAATCAATCTCCAGGATACTACCTTGTACAATTTTGGGGTAAAAGTAATAAGGGCATGAAAAATATTTGTCTCTTTTGTGATTTTATTTGAACATTTCTCTATTAAATGTAAAAGTATTGAAAACAAAATAAAGGACTATTTTGGTAACAGTTGGCTATCATCCAGTTAATTGATTTTTTTGCTTTCCAATTGGCATAAGATCAATATTTTTGAAACTGAAACAAGGAGTAGGAGTCACTCAGCTCAATGAGCCTGGTCTGCTCTTCAGTATAATAATGGCTGATCTTCTATCTCAACCCAGTATTCCTGCTTTCTCTATTTCAGTGTACTCCCGGTTGGCCCCTCACAGTCTACTCTCGAAGGATTATTGAAAATTCTGACTTAAGTCACTCTGCCATGATTGTCATAACTGCAGCTGTCTATGTACAAACATTTGAGGAGTATGCAGCTCACCTGCTGGAACCTTTTCACCATTCACGAAGATAGCTAATAATTCACTACCTTTTGTGGCAGTGAATTCTGCAGGTTCACCACCTGAGTCTCAGTCCAAAGTGGCCTACTCTTATCCTGCGATGTGACCCCTGGTTCTAGATTCTTCAACTCGGGAACATTCTCCTTGCATCTGATCTGTCTAGCCCTGTTAGAATTTTTATACTTTACAATCAGATCCTGTCACATTCTTCTAAACTCTAGCGAATACAGGCCCAGTTAAACCAATCTCTCCTCATACAACAATCCTGCCAATTCCTTTAATTAGTGAAGGAATCAAGGGTGATGGGGAATGGCAGGAAGGTAGAGTTGAGGATTATCAGATCAGCCATGATCTCACCGAATGGCAGTGCAGATATGATGGGCTACTTCTGCTCCTAATGGTCTTAGCAGCCTAATGAACTTTGGCTGAACTCCCACTATGTAAAGTATAGGCTGTCTTAACTAGGGAGAACAAACCCACACACACAGTACCTCCAGTGCAGCCATCTTAAGAGAATTACAACTGCAGTAAGATATCCCTACATCTGAACTCAAATTCTCTTTCAATGAAGGCAAACCTACCATTTGCTTTCCTAACTGCTTGCTGTACCTGCCTGTTTATCTTCATTAACTAGTGTACAAGGACACCTGATCTTTATGTACATCCACATTTCCAAGTATGTTATTAACAAAATAATGCACTGCCTCTCTTTTTCAATCTGAATTGTATATTTTCACATTTATCAACATACTACAACTGTGTGTGCATTTACATACTCATTATCTGGTTTGCTCTGAAGCATCCTCCTCTCAACTCAATCCCACCCACTTAGACTTAGAAGTATCGCATTTGTTCCCTTACTCAAGTCATTTATATATAGTTGGGGCTAATACTCAATAATTATACTCAAAAATTGCCCAATTATCAAACAGGCATTTGAAAGTGATGCATCATACGAAAGGATACATGGAGTGACAAATTGTAGAAGCACAAAAGTCAGGAGGCAAGAGTTCATGCAATGAAAGTACACATATATGAAATAGGAGTATAACAAGAATCTATCCATCCCTGTCTTAAAACTGTTCAATGAAACCGTCTCCAGCCAGATTTTGGTTAAGTTTTCATACGCCTGCTTAGGCACTAAGCCATACAGAGCAATCAGATTCTTCGTTTGATCCCCAATTAACACAGAGTTATTTTGAATAACTTCTTGCTTATTTAAATGAAATAGTGGTCTGGTGATTAAAGTGATTGTGGGTCAGAATTTAATTCATCCTTTATATGCCACAGAAATTCTGAGGAACTAACATTCAGTGGTCTTAAAAGGGGAAACAAGTGAATTAATTTATGCTAACAGGGAGGACTGAAAGCAGTACAGTTTATTGAGGTTGTCAAAGTCAGTGAGAGAGGTTGCAACATGAATTTGGAGGAAAATTCCAGAAAATAAGCTACAGACAAGTAAGTTTCAAATAGGCAAGCAAAATGCTATTATACACCAGGTGGGAAGATTATTTTGGTTTGTAATGACCGGGTAAGCAGCAATGATTGGGCTTCCCTCTTTTTTTTTCTCAGTAGGTCACAACAAGGGTTTTAAGTTCTTTTTAACACAAAGCTATATGTTCCCCAATTTAAAAGTAGTTAAATATTTTTACTGCAAAGGAACTGATCAAAGGTTTCCTTGAATTAAACAAAGAGTGAGTTTATTACCTGTTCATGCCAAGAAAAATAATAAAGTTGCAATGTCAAGTATACAAACTTTAGCAGTTACTCGGCTCTCAGACACCTGCGCAGATACAAAGTTAAAAAGGGATAGTGAAGCAAACATGGAGAATGCTGGAGGAAGTCAGGAAATCTGGCAACATCAGGGGAGAGAAACAGTTAACATTTAGAGTCTGGTAATACTCTTATTCAGAGCTGAAAGGTTTTGAAAATTTTTTTGGTGGAGGAGAAGCAAGTAGATGATGTTGAGGCTCAATGTTAAAAAAGAAACAAAGAGGTTGTTAGTGCAGGTGAAAGAAAAAGAGATGTAACAGATAAGGTTGGGTAGTGGAGGGTGGGGTGGGGAGGGGCCAGTGGAGACGGGAAGAGAATATAAGAAAAATGGAGACCAGATATAATGTGGTCAGTTTCTGAACTTGTTCAATGCAATGTTGAGACCTTGAGGCTGTAAATTGCCTAAATGGAAAATGAAATGTTCCTCAAGCTTGCGTTGTGTGCTTCTTTGAAATATTGCAGCAAGCCTAGGACGGAAGTGTTAGCATGACAACAAGGTGGTTTATTGAAATGGCAGCAACTGGGAAGTCAGGGTAATTCTTACAGAGAGAGGAAAGTGTTCTGAGGTTGTTGAGATGCTCACTGAGCTGGCTTGTTTGTCCATTCTGTTCAGCTATTTTGTGTGCCTGTGGGTTGTTGAATGGAGATTTGTACTTCACGCTGTGGGGCAGTACCTGATTCCTGTGGCATTCATGGAGAAAGTGAAGTTGTTCGCGGGTAGAGCTCAGTTAGTTGGCAAATGTTTCCCATTGTTGGGCAATTTTTTGCGTGTTGAACCCGTGATGTTTAAAGTTTTAGCAAAGATTTGTTACTCGACGAGCAGGTCAACAACCTCGCCCACAACCTGAGCTACGAATCTTTGCTAAAAACTTTAGAGGAAAGTGTTCTGTAAAGCGTTTACCCAGTCTGTTTGGCCTTGCCAATGTAAAAGAGATTGCATTGTGTGCAGCAAATGCAGTTGAGTGGATTGAAAGAAGTACATGTAAAATGCTGCTTCACCTGGAAGATATACTTAAGGCCTTGGTCAGTAAGGAGGGAGGACGTGAATGGGTAAGTGTTATACCTTCGGTGATTGTATGGGAAGATGCTATGTGGTAGTGTGGCAGAGTCTGGGGAAGTGGACCAGGTTGCCATGGAAGGAATGGTCTCTCTGGTATGCTGACAGTGGAAGGAAGGGGAAAATGTGTTTGGTGGTGGTATCCTGTTGGAGGTGGTGAAAATGGCAATGGTTGATCCTCTGAATGCAAAGAATGGTTGTGTGGAAAACAAGGGAAGCTCTATTGTCGTTCTGGGAAGGGTGGGATGGGGTGAAGGTAGAAGTGCGGGAAGTAGGTTAAACATAGCTGAAGACCATGTCAACCACAGAAAAGGATTAGTTCAAAAAATGATCAAAGTTAAAAGAATATATATACAATTTATATGTCCCTGAATCCAATGGTTTTAATTTGCGGTCTGATTTATTGTTTTCCTGG